GGGGGCACCGTGGGGACGGTAAGTGGACACTATGGGTACGACGAGGGGACGTTATGAGGACACAGTGGGGACACCATGGGGATACATTAGGGACACTATGGGGACATGCTGGAGAGATGCTGGGGACACATTGTGGGGATCACCCCCCCCCTCCTCACTTCTAGGGACAGAGAAGAAACTATGGGAACAGCACAACAACACCGTAAGGACAACATGGGGAGATACCGGGGACGTGTTGGGGAGCTGCACCCCCTGCATTCCCAGTTCTGGGAAGACAGGGGGGACAGTGAGGGGACAGCGAGGAGGCAGAGAGGGGACACCATGGGGACACTGTGGGGATACTATGGGGACACTACAGGGACACTCTGGGGATGGTGAGGGGACACCATGGGGACAATAAGGGAACAGGGAGGGGACAGAGTGGGACATGGTGGGGAGGCTGTGGGGACATTACAGGGACACCTTGGAGATGGTGAGAGAACATTATGGGGACACACTGGGGACACTACAGGGACATGGCAGGGACGCCAGGGGGACATGCTGTCTTACCTGTGTCGTAGCCATGTGGCAGCCGTGTGGCCCAGGTGTGCACCCCCACCCGCTGTGCTGCCGCTGTCACCTGTGTCACCTGCATCCCCTCCCCGTGTCCCCAACCCAGCGTGATGTTGGCACTGAGGGAGCGGGACAGGAGGGACGGAGACTGCAGGACAGCAGCCACCTGCAGGGACAGGGGACATAGGGGGACACAAGGACATGGAGGTATATGGGAGGACATGATGGCATATGCGGGGACATGGGGACATGGAGAACATTGGTACAGGGGGGACACAGTGGCAGGAACAAGGAGGGAACACCTGGGGACACAGGGCGCTGGGAGGGCCATGGTGGGGCTGGCTGGTGACATGCGGGTGGCCATGGGGATCTGTTGGGGACACAGTGGTGACCCAAGGGTGGCAGCAGAGGACACCAGGTAACCCAGGGGTGGCAGTGGGGACCCATGAGGGGTACAGAGTGACATGGTGGTGACCATGGTGGACCACTGGTGACACAGGGGTGGCACTGGGGAGTCACTGGTGAGCCTGGGGTGGCAGTGGGGACTTGTTGGGAACCCATTGGAGACCTGGGGGTGGCCACGGGGACCCGTTGGTGACCCACTGATGACCCAGGGTGGCCCAGGGGACATGCAGGTGACACAGGGGTGGCAGTGGGAACCTGCTGGGGACCCAGGGGTGACCCGGGCATAGCACTGCGGATCTGGGGTGACTCAGGGGTGGCCTAGGGTGTCACCTTGTCACTGCAAGGCAGGACCTGCACAGGGTGGGTCAGAGGGTGTTTGGTGACAAGGGCTGGCAGTGGGGACCCGGGGTGACTCAGGGGTGGCAGTGGGGCTGTGCGGGTGGCCATAGTGAGCCGGGGTGACCCGGGGGTGTCACCTGTCGCCGCAGGGCGGGGTCCGCGCGGGGGCTCAGGGGGGTCCCGTCCAGCAGCACCGTCCCGCCCGCCAGGGGGCGCAGTCCCAGCGCCGCCGCCGCCAGGGAGCTCTTCCCGCCGCCAGGGGGCGCCAGCACGGCCAGGAGCTCCCCTGGAGCCAGAGACAGAGACACCCCCTGGCGGCGGGAGAGGGGATGGGATCGCACCGGGAATGGGAACAGCGGGAAGGGGAACAGCGGGAGACGGGAACAGCGGGAGACGGGATTGGGGATCGCACCGGGAATGGGAACAGCGGGAACGGGAACAGCGGGAGAGGGGATTGGGGATCGCACCGGGAATGGGAACAGTGGGAATGGGAAGCGGGAACGGGAACAGCGGGAGGGAGAGAGGGGATTGGGGATCGCACCGGGAATGGGAAAACAGCGGGAATGGGAACAGCGGGAGAGGGCTTGGGGATCGCACCGGGATGGGAACGCGGCGAATGGGCCACAGCGGGAACGGGAACAGCGGGAGAGGGGATGGATTGGGGATCGCACCGGGAATGGGAACAGCGGGAACGGGAACCGCGGAGGGAACAGCGGGAGACGGGGGCAATCGCACCGGGAATGGGAACAGCGGGAACGGGAACAGTGGGAGACGGGATTGGGGATCGCACCGGGAATGGGAACAGTGGGAATGGGAACAGCAGGAACGGGAACAGCGGGAGAGGGGATTGGGGATCGCACCGGGAATGGGAACAGCGGGAATGGGAACAGCGGGAGACGGGATTGGGGATCGCACCGGGAATGGGAACAGCGGGAACGGGAACAGCGGGAGAGGGGATTGGGGATCGCACCCGGAATGGGAACAGCGGGAACGGGAACAGCGGGAGAGGGGATTGGGGATCGCACCCGGAATGGGAACAGCGGGAACAGGAACAGCGGGAGAGGGGATTGGGGATCGCACCGGGAACGGGAACAGCGGGAATGGGAACAGCACGAGAGGGGACTGGGATCGCACCGGGAATGGGATCACATTGGGAGCAACGGGAACAACGGGAACAGTGGGAGAGGGGATTGAGGATCGCACTGGGAATGAGAACCACAGGAACAGCGGGAGAGGGGATTGGGGATCGCTCCGGGAATGGGATCACACGGGGAGCAATGGGAACAATGGGAGAGGGCACTGGGGATCACACTGGGAATGGGATCACAACGGGAAAAACGGGAGAGGGGATTGACGATCGCACCAGGAATGGGATCATAGCAGGAAGAGGGATGGCAACGGGAATGGGAATTGCAATGGGAATGCGATCACACTGGGAATAGGGATTGCATCAGGAGAGGGGATCACACTTGGAATGAGGACAGAACCGGGAAAGGGGATTGTACCAGCACTTCCATGTGAACCCTATCCCCATGTCCCCACCCTGTAGCCACGTCCCCCTGTGTCGCCCCATCTCCCCACCGGGTGCCCCCATATCCTCACCATGTCCCCATGTCCCCCCACAACTTCCAATCTCCTCCATGTCCCCCCACATCCCCGCATAGCCCCCATGTCCCTATGTCCCATCTGTGTCCCCCTGTATCTTCCCCTGTCCCCCCACGTACCCCATCTCCCCCACCTCCCCTCTATGTCCCATGGACCCCATTTCCCCATTTCCTCAATATCTCTGTGTCCCCTCCTGACCCCCCATGTCCCCCATGCCCCCCTGTCACCTTGAGGACGGGCTCAGATCGCCCGGGGTAGGTCACGTAGATGTCCTTGAGACACAGGCCTGGAGTCCTGGAGGTCTCATGGCCCCGGGGGGTGACAGGTGACAGTGTCCCCACAGGTGCCACCCACTTGGCCTTGTCCAGCAGCTCCAGGAGTGTCTCGGAGGAGCCGACAGCCTTAGCCAGGACTGGGAGGTACAACAGCAGGGCCTGGGGACACAGGGACACTGGGGGATTTGTGGACATGGGCATGGGGACATGGGCATGGGGACAGGGAGGGACACAACCAGGAAGGCATGGGGACATGGCAGGGATTGGGGAAATAGAGGGGACATGGCAGGGGGGACGTTGGGGACTTGGGGGGGACATGGCTGGGACAGGCATGGGTACATGGATGGGGACACAGGGACATGGAAGGGGACAGGGGGACCTGGTAAGGACATGGCAGGTGCACACTGAGACACAGCGAGGGGACATGGGGAGGATCTGAGGACACGGAGGGGACACAATAGGGTTGCGGTGGGGACAGAGCGGACAGGGATGGGGACATGGTCAGGAGAACACGGGGACATGGGGACACAGCTGGGAAGGTGTGGGGACATGGGGACATGGTGGGGGGACATGGTGGGGGGACATGGGAGGACACAGGGACACGCTGGGGACATGCTGGGGACATACCGGGGACACACTGGGGATAGGTTGGGGACAGAATGGGGATACACTGGAGACAAGCGGGGAAAACATTGGGGATAGGTTGGGGACACAGGAGGGACAGGTTGGGGACACATTGAGAATAGGCTGGGGACACAGTGGGGACATGCTCCTCACATCCACAGCCCGGGTGAAGTTCAGGTGGCACATGAGGATGGTGACCAGCTCCCCAGGGGTGATGGTCCCCGCATTCACCAAGTGTCCCCCTCCAAGGAGCAGCCCCAGCTTCATGACCAGCGTCGGGAACTGGGGACATGGGGACACAGGGTCACATGGGGTCACCCCAGCCCCATGTCACTGTGTCCCCCAGTCCTATGCCACCACGTCCCTGTGTCCCCAGCCCTGTCACCACATCTCCCATCCCTGTGTCCCCATATCCCCTGTCTCCATACCCTCTATCCCCATAACCCCATGTCCTCATGTCCCCCAGCCCCCTGCCACTTCAATCCCACGTCCCCTGTCCCCCGGTCACCCTGTCCCCATGTCCCTCAGCCCCCTGCCACCATGTCCACCAGCCCTGTGCCACCTTTCCCTGTGTTCCCTGTCCCCATGTCCCCATCTCCATGCCACTGCATCCAATGTCCCCTAGCTCCCTGCTGCCACGTCCCCATGTCCCCTCTTACAATGCCACCCTGTCCCCATGTCCCCCAGCCCTGTGCCACCCATCTGCATGTCCCCTATCCATGGATCCCCATGTCCGCATGTCCTCTGGCCCTTTGCCAATACACCCAACATCCCCATCCCCATGTCCCCATGCCCCATGTCCCTGGGCCCCCTGCCACCCTGTCTTCGCCCCTATCCACCCTCACCCCCATTTCCCCCATTCCTGCATCCCCCATCCCCATGTCCCCATCCCCCTGCCACCATGTCCTCCGTTTCCATACCACTGTTCCTCATTCCCCTGTGCCCCCCATCCCTGTGTCCCCCCAGTGTCCCCATACCCCGCTGGCCCAGCGCCCGGCCCCGTAGGCCAGGGCCTCCCCACACTCCAGCTGGTGGCCGTGGCTGAGGCGCTGCTGGACACGTGCGGTCACTCCGGCCTCATGTCCGAAGGCCCGGACGGTCCTCAGGGCCCCCAGTGACTCCACGGCCACCGCGGTGGCATCAGCCAGCGCCGCCCGCGCCCGCCGCGCCAGGTCCTGGGGACACACGGGACAGGGGGTCACCACAGGGTTGGAAGGCACAGAGGGTGGACAGGGTGGGGACAGGGAGGGGACAGAGGAGCCACCACAGAAAGCACACGGGGGTTACACTGGAGTCACTGCAGGGTCACTGCATGGGATCATGGGGGGACACAGAGGGAACAGGGGGTCACCCTGGAGACAGGGAGGTCACCTCGAGGTCACCATGCAGATGGGGAGACAGGGAGGGCACAGGGGACAGAAAAAGGTGACAGTGGGCATTGGGAGGTGACAACAGGCACCAGGAGGGGACAGGAGGGACTTGGACAGAACCCAGGGAGATGATGAGGGACCTTGGGAGGTGCCATGGGGTACAGGGAGGTGACCAGGGGTGCAGAGAGGGGACAAGGGGCCCAGGGAGGTGACATGGGCTGCAGGGAGGTGACAAGGGGCCCAGAAGAGTGACCGGGGTGCAGGGACAAAGGTACAGGTTACAAAGGGAGGTGACAAGAGGCCCAAGGAAGTGATGAGGATTCTGGAGAGGTGACGAGGGGCCCAGGGGGAGGACAGGGGGTGCAGGGAGGTGACACTGGGGACACAGACGTGACAAAGGGCCAAGGGAGCTGACAAGGTACTCGCAGTCCCTGTGTCCCTCTCGGTACCTGCTGGATGCCTGCGATGGCACGTGGCAGCAGCAGGAGGAGGGGCAGCACCAAGAGTGTGACCAGGGCCAGCAGCGGGGCCAGCGAGGCCATCACGGCGAGCAAGGCCCCGGCCCGGGCCAGCGCCCACAGCGCCGGGACCACCGCGTCGGCCAGCGCCGCGTGCGCCGCCTCCGCGTCCCCCGTCACCCGTGCGGCCACCGCACCCGGCGTGTCTCCCAGGCTGCCCCCCGGGCCGGGCACGTCCCCCCGCAGCACCGCGGCCACCACGCCGCACTGGAGCCGCGCCCGTGCCCGCGTCAGCGCCACGGCCGCCGTGCCGTCACAGACCAGCTCGGTGAGGGCACTGCAGGGACAGCGGGGTCAGGGGGCACCGAGGGGCATCGCCACCTCGGGGTGTCCCCCCGGCCCTGCAGTCACCCACCTGCCGAGCCCCAGCACCACCAAGGGCCACATGGCCGCTGACGTGTCCTCCTGTGTCACCTGGTCAGTGATGTGGCCCGTGAAGTATGGGCCTGCCACCTCGCCTGTGGGGACACTCTGACAGTGGGTGGGGAGCCCCTGACTTGGGGGCTGAGCCCCAAGAAGTGGGTACTGACCACTCTCAAAATTGGGGGTTGAGCTCTGAAATTGGGTCCTGACCCCCTCCACTGTGGGCTAAGACCCCAAACTTGGGGGTTGAACTTCCAAAATTGGGTCCAGAGAACCCAAAGTTGGGTGTTGACCCCTGAAAATTGGGTGCTGACCCTCCAAATTGGGTCCTGACCCTCCAAATTGGGTCCTGACTCCCTAAACTTGGGTGTGGGGCCCTACAAAATTGGGTGTTGAGCCCCGAAATTGAGTGCTGATCCCCTCGATACTGGGTCCTGGCCCCTAAAATTGGTTGATTGGCCCACCAGATTTGCACCTGACCCCACACAACTGAACCCAAAATTGGGTCCTGACCCCCCAAAATTACGTGCTGATCCCCCACGTTGGGTAATGGCCCCCAAATTGGGTCCTGCACACCTAAAATTGGGTGTGTATCCCTGAAAATTGGGTGTTGAGCCCTGAAATTGGGTCCTGATGCCCCTAAGTCGAGTGGTGACTCCCTAGTGGACCTGCACTGCAAAATGGGCTGTGGACCCCTGAAAAGTGGGTGTTGAACCACTAAATTGGGTCTGACTCTTTAAAGTTGGGTGTCACCCCCCAAACTGAGTCTTGACCCTTGAAAATTTGGTCCCGACCTGCTAAAATTCTCCAAAATGGGTCCTGACCAGCCAAAAATGTGTTCCGACTGCCCAAATTGGTTTCTGGTCTCCCAAAATCGGGTCCTGCCTCCCCAAAAATTGGGTCCCAACCCCTCAAATCACCCCCCAGAGGGGTCCTGCCCCCCCCACATATTGGGTCCTGCCCCACCAAATTGAGTCTCGACCCCCGAATTGGGTTCTGACCCCTCAAACTGGGTCCTGCTCCCCCAGATCGGGTCCTGCCCCCCCCCCCAGTCGGCTCCTTCCCTCCCCCAATCGGGCCCTGTCCCCCCAAATCGGGTCTTTTCCCCCCCAGTGGTGTCCTGACCCCCAAATCGGGTCCTGCCCCCCCGAATCGGAGTCCCCCCCTACCGAGGGCCGAGGCCACCATCAGCACCCCCACCAGCGCCCACTGCCCGCACTCGGGGCGCAGCAGGGCCAGGAGCCGGCGGATGGCGGGGGACAACATCGGGGGGCGGGGGGCGCGGAGAGGTCCCAGTCTGGTCCCAGTGGGTCCTGGTTCTGCTTTCAGTGGGTCCCGGTGAGTCCCGGTGGGTCCTAGTGGGTCCTGGTTCTGCTCCCGGTGGGTCCCGGTTCTGGTCCCGGTGGGTCCCAGAGGGTCCCTTGGGGTCCCCGTTCTGCTCCCGGTAGGTCCCAGTCGTGGTTCCGGCGTATCCCGACGTGTCCCGGTGTATCCCGGTGTCCTAGTCCGCCCCAGCCCTTCTCAGCCCTTCCCAGTCCCCCCAGTCCCCCCGGTCCTTTCCCGGCAGCCGCCACCGTTTCCCGGAAAGCCGAAGGCGCGCGGGGCGGGGGCGGGGTCAGCGGAGACTCCGCCCTGGGAATCCCCGGGAACCCCAGCTTGGCCCCGCCCACAGCCGCGATGGCGGCGCTGACTGGTTAATGGTCCCGTTACGTCATCGGTTACCGGGCAGAGGGAGCCGGAGCAGGTTGTGAAGAGGAGGGGGAGGGGACAAAAAGAGGGCGGGCTCTGGGCGGGGCCGGGGCGGAACGGGGCGGGGCAGGGGCGGGAGAGGGCGTGGTCTCGGGAGAAATTTTAGCGGAGAGTTCTGCGGGGCTGAACTGGGAGCACTGGTGTGGATTGGTGAGCTGAGGGGTCTGTACTGGGAGCACTGGTGAGCTGAGGGGGCCATACTGGGAGCACTGGTGTGGACTGGGGAGCTGAGGGGGCCGTATTGGGAGCACTGGTGCGGACTGGGGAGTGCCCAAGTCTCTACTGGGAGCACTGGTATGGACTGGGGAGTGCCCCAGTCTGTACTGGGAGCGCTGCTATGGACTGGGGAGCTCAGGGAACTGGACTGGAAGCACAGGTGTGGGCTGGGGAGCACCCCAGTCTGTACTGGGAGAGCTGGTGTGGACTGGGGAGCACCCCAGTTTGTACTGGGAGCACTAGCATGGACTGGGGAGCACCCCAGTCTGTACTGGGAGCACTAGCATGGACTGGGGAGCACCCCAGTCTGTACTGGGAGCACCCCAGTCTGAGCTGGGAGAGCTGGTGTGGACTGGTGAGCCCCCAGATCCTAACTGGTGTTAACTGGTGAGTTCACAGGCTGCCGAAGCCCAGCGCAGGAGCTGCACTGGAAGCCGTACGGGGAGCACTGGTCCGTGCCGGTTCCACCATGGCACTGCCGCCCGCCGCGCTGCTCCCCGGGGTGCTGCTGGTGGCTGACGCGCTGGCACTGGTGTTACTGGGGCCGCTGGTGCCGGCCCTGGCGCCCATGGGGGTGGCGGGCGTGTGGCTCGAGGCCGCCCTGCGCCTGCCCTTCCTGGCCACGGCCCCCCGGCTCCTGACCCCGCACCGGCCCCCCGGAGCCACCGCGGCCGCCGTCGCCGCCGCCGCCACCCCCGCGGTCTTCGGAACCCTCCGGAGCCTCCTGGGGCCGCCCGGGGCCGGGCCGGGGCTCTTGGCGGCCGCGGCACCTGCCTGGCTCGGGGTCACCCACGTGGCCACTGCGCTGGCCCTGCTGGCCTGGGCCACACCTCTGATGCCCGGCAGCCTCCCTGAGGCCTCTCCTGGTGTCCCCAAGACCCTCGGCGGTGTCCCCAAGGCTCCTGCTGCCTTCCGGAGGGTCCTGGCGCTGGCCTGGTCTGAGTGGAAAGTCCTTGGAGCCGCCTTCCTTTGCCTCATGCTGGCGGCCACTGGTGGGTGACGGTGCGAGGAGGGTGAGGGCACGCGGAAATGGCCACTGACCCCCCATTCACTGAGCCTTGCAGCCCCGAACTGGGGGCTGACTCCCCCCAGACTGGGCAGGGACCACCCCAAAGTTGGGTGTGGAGCCCCTAAATTTGATGTTGAACGCCCAGATTTGGAGCTGACTCCCTAAATTGAGTGGTGACCACTCCAAACTTGGGTGTTGAACCTCCAAACTGGGAGCCGACCCCCCCGAAATTGGGATCTGATCCCCCAAATTGGGTGCTCACCACCCCAAAATTGGGAGCTGGCCCTCCAAAATTGGATCCTGGACCTCCAACCTTGGCTCTTCATTGCCCTAAATTGGCTGTTGAGCCCTATGACTGGGTGCTGACCATCCCAAAATTGGGTGCTGAGCCCCTACACTGGGAGCTGACCACCCAAAAATTGGGTGGTTACACCCCCATAATTGGGTGCTGACTACCCAAAAATTGGGTCCTGACCAATCAAACTTGGGTGTTAACCCCCACAAAGTTGGGTGTTGACCCTCAAACTTTTGATACCCAAAAATGGGTGTTGACCCCCAAGAAATTGGGTCCTGACCCCTAAAATTGGGTGATGAACCCCCAAAATTAGGTGTCGAACCCCCAGAATTAGGTGTCAAACCCCCAAATTTGGTCTCAAATCCCTACACTGGGCGCTGACACCACAAAATTGAGTCCTGACCCCTTGAAATTGTCTCCCGCCGCCACCAAATCACGTCTTGTCCCCTCAATCGAGTCCTGCCCCCACAATCGGGTCCCCCCATGCCAGCGGTGGTGCCGCGGTGACACGGTCCTGGTGACGCCCAGGGGAGACAGCGGGGCCGTACGTCACCGGGAAGGTGCTGGACGCCATCAGGAACAGGGACGGACTCACCGCTGGAGCTGTTGGGATGGTGGTGGCCGCTGAAGCAGCCAGGTGGGTCATGGCATTCCCAGTGTCCATGCCCGTGTCCCCATGTCCCCAACGTCCCCAATGTCACTGTGTCCCCCCAGTGTCCTGTTCTCTGGGTGCCGTGGGTGGCTCTTCCTGCTGGCGGCAGCGCGTCTCCGGCAGAGCCTGCGCCTCCAGCTCTTCTCCCACCTGGTGCACCAGGACCTGGATTTCTTCCAGGGAATGCCGGCAGGTAATGGGACATGGCCCAGACCTGTCCCATCCCACCATCCCATGATTCCAGTCCCCATCCCACCATTACATCCTTTCCCCATCATCCTGTTATCCTAGTTCCCATCCCATTCTACCCCACCCATCCATTATCCCATCCCACCATCCCATCCCCCTCATTCCCATTCTTACTATCCCATCCTTTTCTATCCTATCCCATTTTCCCGGTCTCATTGTACTATCCTCTCTGAATCCCACTATCCTATCCCACTGCCCTGTCCTCATTCCCATCCCATCATCCCATCCCCACTGTCCCATCCCTATCAGTCCATTCCCACCATTCCCGTTGCCACCATCCCCTTTCTCATCATCCTGTCCTCCCAGTCCCCATCCCATCTTGTCCCCCCCATTATCCCATTTTGCTATCCCATTCCATATCCTGACCTTCCATCCTATCATCCCATCCCACCATCTCCATTCCTACCATCCCATCCCAACTGTCTGATCCTGCCCTGCCATTCCCATCCCACGTCCTCCCCCCATGAACCCAATCTCCTTTCCTGCCCCGCAGCCGAGCTCTCAGCACGGTTTTCCACGGAGGTGCCGCTGGTGTCCATGGCGGTGCCGAGGGGAACCAACCTGCTGCTCCGCAGCCTGGGAATGGCACTGGTGGTGGGGATGGCCATGGTGTGGCTGGCACCGGGGCTGGCACTGCTGGCACTGCTGGAGCTGCCCCTCGGAATCACCACCCGCCGCATCCACAGCGCCCGGAAACAGGTTGGGAATATGGGAGGGGAGGAGAGGTGGAAAGGGGACACAGAGGTGGGATAATGGAGTGGGAATGGTGGGGGTGGGATGGAGAGCAGGGGAATGGGATGGTGGAGATGGGAATGGTGGGATGGGATGGGATGGGATGGGATGGGATGGGATGGGATGGGATGGGATGGGATGGGATGGAAACCGGGTGTACGGGATGGGATGATATGATGGCAATGCTGGGGATGGGGCAGGATGGAGTGATGGAGATGGGATGGAATGGGATGTGATGGGTTAGTGAAGATGGGATGGAGAGCAGGGTCATGTGACAGGGGATGAGTTAGGATGGGATGGGATGGTGTGAATGCTGGGATGGGGACAGGATGGAATGGTGGGATGGGGACAGAGGGATGGGGTAAAATAGAATGAGATGATGGGATGGGGTGTATATCAGGGGATGGGCCAGTGGGGATAGGAGGGGGATAACAGGGAAGAGACTGCACAGAATTGGTGGATTTGGGAGTGGTGGGATGAGGCTATGAAGATGGGACAGAATGGTGGGATGGGATGGGGATGGCAGGTACGGGAATGCTGGGATGAGGACCAGAGTGATGGGATGATGGGATGGGATCAGGTGGGATGGAGACAGGATGGGACAGTGGGGACAGGACAGTGGGATGAGAAAAGAGATGGGATAGGAATGGATGGAATGGGGGGATGGGATGGTGGAATGCGTACTGGGGAGGACTGGATGGTGGGATCGGGATGGTGTAGAAGAGATGGGATGGCACAGTTGGGATAGGAATGATGGGAACAAGATGGGATGGGGATGGGACGGGATGGGATGGGACAGGATGGAACAGGATGGGATGGTTGGATGGAGACCAGAGAGATGGGAGTGGGGAAGGTGACCAGAGGAATGGGATGTTGGGAATGTGAATGGGGGGGGTGGGATGGGAGAGTGAGAATGGGGATTGTGGGATGGGGACTGAGAGATAGAATGAGATAGCAGGATGGGAAGTGGGAAGGATGGCATGATGGCATGGGAATGGTGGGGATAGTAGGGAGACCACGGGTGCGAGATGGTGGGAATGGAATTGTGAGTTTGCGATGGGTGTGATGGGAATTCTGGGGACGGGATGTGGATGGTGGGCCAGGAGAGTAGTCTGGGAAAGCTGGGCACCCCCCGTGCCTCCGCAGGCACTGCAGCGATCCATGCTGGAAGCATCCGCCCGGACGGCCTCAGAGGTGCAGGAATCCATCGCCGCCATCGAGACGATCCAGATCTTCTCAGCAGAGGAGGAGGAGGAGGAGCGGCACAGCCAGAACCTGGACAAGGAGCTGAGGCTGAAGGAGCAGATGGAGTTGGAGTTGGCAGGATTCACCCTCATCCATAGGGTCAGGGGGGCTGGGAATGGGAATAGCAACACCAGGAATGGGGACAATGGGATCAGGGATGAGGACACTGGGATGGGGGTACTGGGAGCAGGATGGGGACGCCCAGGAAAGGGGACACCAGGAGCTGGGATGGGGACAGCAGGAATGGGAGTGGGAAGACCAGAATAGGGACACTGGGATCAGGGATGGGGACACCAGGAATGGGAATGCCAACACCTGCAGGATGGGGTCTCCAGGACAAGGGATGCGAACACCAGAATCGGGAATGGGGACACCAGGAAAGGAAGTAGAGAGACTGAGGACAAGGGATGGGAACACCAGGATCAGGAATGGGGACACCAGTAAAGGAAGTGGGGAGACTGGGACAGGGATACCAAGACCAGTTATGGAGACACTGGGAATGGGGACACCAGGACGAGGTTGGGGGCACTGTGACTGGGATGAGGACACCAGGGACAGGATGGGGACACCAGGAGCGGGAATGGGGACACCGGTATCCCTGTTCCCACCTACAGGTCCTCCGACTGGCCATCCGGGTCCTGGTGCTCTTCCGGAGCCACCAGCAGCTCCGTGATGGATCCATCACTCCTGGAGTCCTCGTCACCTTCCTGCTGTACCGGGACACGGTTGGCAGCCATGTCCAGGTGATCCCATGGAATCCATGTGTCCATCCATCCATCCCTGTTTCCATCCATCCTGGTGCCACCCCCTCCCCTTCCCCAGGTGCTGCTCATCGGCTTCAATGAATTCATGACCAACATGGCTGCTGGGCAGAAAATCTGGGAATACCTGGATCAGGAACCCACGAGGGACACTGGGGGGACACTGGAGCCTTCCAAGCTCCGGGGTGACATCACCTTCCAGAGGGTCTGCTTCACATATCCCGGGCATCCAGAGCGCCCTGTGCTGAAGGTGGGTCTGAGGGGAGTGGGGATTCCCAGGCGTGGGAATTCCGATGTCATTCTGCAGGATGTGTCCTTCGAGGCAGATCCAGGGGAGGTTGTGCATTCCCAGGGATGGGATGGTGTCATCCTCTCCGTCTTGCAGGATATGTCCTTCAAGGCATATCCTCGGTAGGTGTGGATTCCCAGGGATGGGAATTCCAGCATCATCTGTCTCCATCCTGCAGGACGTGTCCTTCGAGGTGCGTTCCGGGGAGGTGACGGCACTGGCAGGGCCCAATGGGAGCGGAAAGAGCACAGCCGTGGCACTGCTGGAGCGGCTGTGGGATCCTGGGAGCGGGAAGGTGCTGCTGGATGGGATCCCACTGCAGGAATATGAACACCAGTACCTACACCGGCAGGTGGAGAAAGCAGGGAGACTGGGAACATCAGGAACAGGATGGAGACAATGGGACAGGCATGGGGGCTGAAATGGAATTGGGACCTGGGAGACAGCGGTGGGGACATTGGGAAAAGGGATGGGTACACCAGGGACAGGATGGAGACATTGAGGTGGGATGGGGACAGTGGCAAATGGGATCGGGACACTGGGTACAGGGATGAGGACAGTAGGAAAAAGGATGGGGACACCAGGCATAGGAATGGGGACAGTAGGAAATGGGATGGGAACATCAAGGATGGGGTTGGGGACAGTGGGATTAGGGAGGGAGACCATGGGGACAGTGATGGGGACACCAAGACTGGGATCGGGCCATGGAACAGGGATGGGGACACCAGGAGCTGAGACGGCTCACAGGCTCGGGGCCGGGGCAGGTGGTGCTGGTGGAGCAGGATCCTCTCCTGTTTTCCGGAACGATCCGTGAGAATGTTGTGCTGGGGCTGGAGCGCTGTGAGGAGTCGGAGCTGCGGGAGGCGGCCACTGCTGCCGGAGCCATGGAGTTCATCCAGGGGCTGGAACAAGGCTGGGACACCGGTGAGAGCTGGGGGGTCCTGGAGGAATCCTGGGGCCAGGGACTTCATCTCGGGGTTGGAGTGGGACTGGGACACTGGTGAGAACCGGGGGGGGCTCCCAGGGGAATCCTGGAACCAGGGGCTTCATCCCAGAGTTGGAGTGGGCCTGGGACACCAGTGAGAGCTGGGAGCATGGGGGCACCCCTGAAATGGATCCTGCTGTTTTTGGGATACTCTGGCAGAGGTGGCTGAGCATGGGGGCGATTGGCAGGGGGATGTGGGGGACCCCAGGGGCTGGATCCCACTGATCCCATGGGATCCCCCGCAGAGGTGGGGGAGCTCGGGGGGCGGTTGGCGGCGGGGGAGCGGTGTCGCCTGGCCCTGGCCCGGGCCCTGCTCCGGCGTCCGACTGTCCTCATTCTCGACGAGGCGCTGGATGACGGAGACGAGGGGGCGGTGAGTGGGGTGGGATGAGGGGGATTGGGTGGGACTGAGGTGAGATGGACAGTGGAGGGATGGGATGGCTGAGATGGGACTGGGGGGAGGGGATGGTGGGAATATGAGGTAGTGGGATGGTGGTGGGAACGATGAGATGAAGACAAAGGAATTGGATGGGATGGGGTAGGTCAACAAGGTAGGGAGTGGGAAGGTGGGAAGAGGCTGGGGAAATGGGACAAGATGGTGGGATGGGAATGGTGAGGATGGGATAAAAACCGGGCGGGTGGGATGGTAGCAAGTTGAGATGAATGGATGAAGATAAAGAGATGTGATGGGGCTGGATGGGATGGTGTAGGAATGGTGGAGTTGGGAATGTTGGAATGAGGACAGAGAGATGGAATGGGATGGGATGGAGGGGCTGGGGTGGTGGGAATGGGGTGGGATGGGACAGTGTGGATGGGGACAGTGGGGAGAGGACAGGAAAGTTGGAGTGGAGATGTGGGTGGTAAAGGGGTGGGGTGGGATGGGTTGGTTGGGGTGGGATGGGATGGATGGGATTGGGTGGGGCAGGGTTGGATGGGATGGGATCAGGGTTCTCTGGCCCCAGGCGCAGCGCTGGGTGCGCACTGGGCTCGCCCGGACCGTGCTGGTCGTCTCCCACCGGCCGCGGGTGCTGGAAGCGGCCGATCGCCTCGTGGTGCTGGAGCGCGGGGCCGTGGCAGAGGCAGGAACACCAACGGAGCTGCGGGAACGCCACGGGGCCTACAGCCGCCTGCTCCAGGGCGGAGGTGGGACCGGGCGGCCCGATGCCATGGGAGAGGGAGACAGGGAATAAAGGGAAATTGGTGTCCCCATTCCTGGTGTTTGTGTCCCATACCTGTTTCTAGTGTCCCTAGTCCCTGTGTCCTGTGGGTCCCTCATCCCGCCATCCCCTGGATACCCACTCCCTGTGTCCTTTTGATTCTCCTCCCCATTCCACCAGGGATGGGAAGTGGGGGGGGGGTATAGTGAGGGGCTTAATTTCCAGCTGGGCTTAAAACCACAACAGTGGGGACATGAGGGACACGTGGTGGGCGGGGACACAGGGAACACAAGGACCAAAGTAAAACTTGTACGTTTAAGACAGTTTAATAATTGTAAATAAAGTAAAATGCAATAATAATGGTAAATGATAATAATAATGGTAATAAAAAGAGAAAACAAAGTGATACACAGTGCAATTGCTCACCACCTGCAGACTGATGCCAGACCCCTTTGCCCACACCCAGATAGGCCCCTTCCAGATACCTGCCCCCAGTTTGTATCCTGAGCATAATATTCCATGGTGTGGAATATCACCTTGCTCAGTTCGGGTCCCCTGACCCAGCTGTGCTCCCTCTTAATTTCTTTTGTGAATCTCGTCAGTGGCAGAGCAGGAGACAAGGAAAAAAGAGTCCTTGACTCAGGATAAACACGACTTAGAAAAAAACCCAAACCATTGGTGTGTTATCAGCACCATTCTCATTCCAAATCCAAAACATAGCACTGGTGGGATGTCAGAGAAGGGAGTGGAGGGGTGCAGGATAAGGGGGTGCAGGAGGGTGGCACTGTTGAGGAATGGGGAGTTCAGGGGGGTCCTGGTACTGAGTGTCTTAGGTTAAAGACAATGTGTGCTAGGAGGCGGGACCTCCGAGGGAATAGAAACCCCTCCCTCCCAGACTTCTTGTAAATTTGAAAATATGAGACCTACAAGCAAGGCGTGGAAACAAAATGACGGTTTACTAAAAAGAGGGAACAAAACAGAACAAAAGCAACACCCACACAATAACAGAGAAAAATGTCACCCACTTTTATTCTTCCCAGTTCTCACACAGTTTGTGCAGCACTGACTCCTCACAGCCGCCCTGCTTGGTGTGGCTGCAACTGCACCGAAAGGGAGCGTGCGACTCAGCTGGTTGAAAGCTTCTCTTACAGTGTTGTTCTTTGTTTAGTATATATTTATTTATATGTATATATTTAGTAAAGAACCCTACATTTTTGCCTGAAAGCCTCTTAATTTTAAAGCTATAATACTTTGGAGGGAGGGGGTCTTCTTTCTATTCCAGGAAGGTTCCTGCCTTCTTTGACTGACATTTGTCTTTAAACCAAAACAAAATTTTGGTGCCCAAGTGAGGCATTGAGAGAAAAGTTGGAAAAAGAATAACAGTTCTTGGGTAATCCATTTCTGTATTGGATATAGAACCCCATAGGCATCATGCTATTCAATTTTTTGTTTTTCTGATACCTATTCATGCAGAAGCATATGGGTTCATAGGCAGGTTTTTTGACCTGGGTCCTCAAACCAAGACAGCTGTGGCTATTGTTGATTTCCTACATTGGATTCATGACACTGTGAATTCAACGCTGTAGGTCTCGTGGAATGTATTTTCAAGGTTGTCTTCCTGCCCTCACCTAACCTGTTACCTCTGGGGGTTAGTGATAATTGGCATCAAGCCTTGGGGAGAAATGCAGGGGAGCTTTTTTTCCCAATTCTTCACCCATTTCCTATTCAGGTCTGCTACAACAGCTTTGGGGAAGTTTAAATTCTCTCTAGATGCCAGAGATACCTTTCTCTTTGTGCTTTGTCTGCAAGCTTATGGCCTATCTTATTTACGAAGCTAGGGAAGGATCCTTCGAGAACATGTTCCACCCCAGGGGCAGAAAACTTTGAGTGGCACAGGTTGTGGGAGGACATGGGTAAGTTCTTGGAAAATTGTTCTGCTCCAATGCCATGGAAGTTCACCCTTGAACAACTCCAGGATCCCACAAAAGTAATGAGATCTGTGAGGGAGAGATGCCGTGGTAGTTGCATGTGGGGCTTTGGCCACTGCCTACCAAAATCTGCTTGGTCTGGTGCAGCACCTCCAGGGGGAAAAGGAAGAGAGTAAAATACCTGGCCCCATGGTGACTCAGGATGTAGCTAAATTAGGAGAACAGTCCAGGCCAATAGAAGTTGCCCCTATCCAAAAAAAGGAAATATAAGACCAAATCAGTTCGTCCGGTGGACGATGATGAGGAGGCAGCACCCTCACAGATAGCAGACCCAGAGCCAGAGAGCATCACTGAGTCCCTGTCCTTTGACAACCTCTGCAGTCTGCAGAAAGATGTTAACACCCGAGCGAGCCAATTTTGACCTGGTTGGTCCGAGTTTGGGACCTTATGGATGAAGGCTTGCAACGTGATGGCACCGAAACGAGGTTTTTGGGATCTCTGGCCCAGGATGTGGGCATTGAGCAGGTGTTTCTGAGGGAATCAAAATCCCTTTCTCTCTGGGCACAGCTTCTAACAAGTGTGAGAAAGAAGACAGCCTGCAGGAGCATCATCATGAAGTGGCCTGTAAGACCATGGAGGAAGGGATCCTATGCCTGAGGGAAATGGCACTGTTAGAGGTACTTTTTGGAAGGGACAGGCAACCCAATAGCAACCCCAACCGGGTCAGGTGCACGTCACAGATGTGGTGGAGCCTTTCACGCCAGGGGCCATCCAGTCTCCTGGTGTCTACATATTCTGAGGGAAACTGAGAGACAGTGGGCTCTGTAACAAACTCAGAATGTACGGTGGCATGGTCCATACCCCACTACAGGCCCTTATTTCTGCTGCAGGGACATTGGTTGAGAGTCTTGAGGCACTAAATGCAGAGGCAAAAGATGAACAGAAAAATCTCAGAGGAGAGATTAAGGAGAACAGTTTCCATGTGGCAGCAGTGTGAACCAGAGCCTCCGAGGTCAGAGCCAGATGACCTCCAGCTAGAGAAAGGGAACAGACCCCATGAACTGAGCTGTGGTCCTTCCTACTTGACCATGGGGAAGACAAGAGACAGTGGGACAGGAAACCTACCCGTGCCCTGGCAGCCTGAGGACAAGAACTGAAGGAGAGAGAAAAAAGGAAGTCAGTGAGAGTAAGTGCAGTGCAGGTTTCCCATGGGCAAGGATCTGACCCGCCAGAAGGTACCTCCCATGAGTATTCACAGGGAAAGAGTTGTGATGGCCATAACCAAGACCAGTGTTAGAGGGGCCCTGCCTCTAGCCAGGTAGAGGCACGGGACAATCGTGTCTATTGGACTGTGTGGATCCGATGGCCTGGCACATCAGACCCACAAGAACACAAGGCTCTGGCTGACACTGGTGCTCAGTGTACATTAATGCCATCAGGACAGGTGGGACCAGAGACTGTTTCCATTTCTGGGGTGACAGGAGTGTCTCAAGACAATGCTGGAAGCTGAAGTGAGCTCGATCGTGAGGGACTGGCAGAAACACCCCCTTGTAACTGGCCCAGATGCCCCATTATCCTAGGCATTGGCTACCTCTGGAATGGGTACTTCAAAGACTCAAAAGGACATTGATGGGCCCTTGGAATTGCTGCTGTGGAGATAGAAGGGATTAAGCGAATGAACACCTTGCCTGGACTGTCACAAAATCCTTCTGCTGGGAGACTCTTGAAGGTAGATGAACAGCAGGTGCCAGTTGCCACCTCAGCAGTGCATTGCTGCCAGTACTGAACCAGTCGACACTTGGTGATCCCCATCCACAAGAGGATCCCGGAACTGGAGAGCTGAGGAGTGGTCAGCAAGACCCACTCACTCTTCAACAGCCCCATTTAGCCTGTGGGTAAGTCTGGTGGAGAATGGAGACTGACTGGACTATTGTGACTTGAATGAAGTCACCCCACCGTTGGGTGCTGCTGTGCTGGACATGCTGGAGCTTCCATACAAACTGGAGTCCAAGGCAGCCGAGCGGTGTCACCATTGCCATTGCAAACATGTTTTTCTCCATTCCTTTGGCAGCAGAGTGCTGGCCACAGTTTGCTTTCACCAGGAGGGGTGTACAGTACCCCCAGAACTGACTGCTCCAGGAGTGGAAACAAAGCCCCAGCATCAGCCATGGACTGATCCGGGCCACACTAGAGAAGGGTGACGCTCCAGAGCACCAGCAGTACCTCGATGACATCATCATACAGGGGAACATGGCAGCAGAAGTCTTTAGGAAAGGAGGCCCTGTGATGCCCTGGCGACCCCTGGGCCATCCTCACTGACATCCTGGACCCCACGGTTTGGAGCCCTGGGTGGGTTTGGGGGTACCCTGGGGGTGTTGCCCCCCAGATCTCCCAATTGCCCCCCAGTGGGCCAGCGCACCAATTATTTGACCCCATAAAACCTCCCAGTTTCCCACACTAGACATCCCAGTTGTCCATCCAGACCTCCCAGTTGCCTTCCAGTGGGCCACTACACACCCCAGTTCACAGAATCACGAGATCACTGAGGTTGGAAAATCCATCCAAGACCATCGAGTCCAGCCTTGTGATCAACATCCCCCTTGTCACCAAGTGCCACATACAGTTCCTTGAACACCTCCAGGGATGGAGACTCCACCACCTCCCTGGGCAGCCCCTTCCAATGCCTGACAATGCTTTCCATGGAAGTTTCTCCTGACATCCAACCTGACCCTCCCCTGGCACAGCTTGAGGTCATTCCCTCTCCTCCTGTCCCTTGTTCCCTGGGAGCAGAGCCCGAACCCCCCCTGGCTCCCCCCTCCTGTCAAGGAGTTGCAGAGCCAGAAGGTCCCCCCTGAGCCTCCTTTTCTCCAGGCTGAGCCGGCCCAGCTCCCTCAACTGCTCCTGGTGCTCCAGCCCCTTCTCCAGCCCTGTTCCCAGCTCTGGACACGCTCCAGCCCCTCAGATTTCAGGTGCCCCTCACCTGTGTCAGGCACAGGGGTTCGGGCATTTCCCTGGGCCTGCGCCCACCCTGGGGCTGGTACAGGCCAGACAAGGAGGGAGGAGGGTGGGCAATGTGCTGCAGGGGGTTTAATGAACCCTGGGCCCCTCCCCTGTGTTCAGAACCAGCTTGGAGAGGGGGAGGGGCAGCATCATGACCCTTCCGTCTCCCCCCCCTCACCCTTTTCTCAGGGCTTCCCAGTAAAACCAGTGAAGAAAATGGGAGGAGCCGTTATGGTGGGGGAGGGGCCTGAGAGCCTTTTATTGGGGTGAGGGGGGGGGCTGGAAACCCCTTTGGGGGGGGAGGGGCCCAGAACCACTTTACCCCGTGAGGGAGGGGCAGTGCAGGTCAGGAGGGTGAGTCCCCCTCTTTGGGGCTTTCCCCACTCGGGGGACTCTCCTCTCCCTCTCCCTCCCCCTCCTCTGGCCCCTCCCGCTCCATCCGCTCCCGGTAATTCCTCTGGAAGAAGCCGCACTGTGGGGGAGGGGCAGGGTAAGAATGGAGGGGAGGGGCACGCCAAAAGTGGGGGTCACCCCTCCACCACTCACAGAGCCCCCCCGCCTCACCTTGGCGAGGCCGAGGACGATGAGGAGGAGGAGGAGCAGCCCCCCCACCCCTCCCCCCACGTAGCCGGGGAGAGGGTTGACTTCCCACAGCAGTTCGACCTCCGTGACCCCCTAAAACGGGGGGGAGGGGTCAAGGTCAGGCGTGGGGGAGGGGCTGCCCCAATTTATGGGGCAGCCCCTTCCCCACAATTACCTGTAGACAGAAGAATTGGGGCGTGGCTTCCAAATAGACCCCTCCCCATCCCAGAGCCCCTCCCTCTATAGACCCAGAGCCCCTCCCCGCCATTACCTGAGCTCGGAGGAATTGGGGCGTGGCCAGAAAGGGCGGGACCAGAGTGAGCCAGAGGGCGGAGCAAAAGTGGGAGTGGGCAGGTCCCTGTGGTAGGGGAGGGGTTAGAGGGGGAGAGGCTTTGGGGTGGAGGAGGGGTGGGGGCAGGGGTACCTGGCTGTGGGGGAGGGGCCGCAGGGCAGCGCTGACGGTGACCCCCACAGGGACCCCCGGGGTCAGCTGGGTCGGGGGGCAGCGGAACAGCCTCAGGTGGGGGGTGGAGCAAGTCTGGGGGTGGGAGGGGTGGGACCCCAAAGTTAGGGCCCTGCCCCTCCCCCACCGTGAGGGGCGCACTCTGCAGTGCCCCACAACTGTGGGGGCCCCAGAGCACCCCCACATTGGGATCTCCCTGCCTCAGAGCACCCCTGTATGGGGGTCCCCCCACACTCTGTAGTACACCCCAGTTGCAACCCGATATTGGGGTCCCCCCACAACCCCCTCACCTCGGCGATGCTCCTGTTCAGCTCCTGCCCCACAGCGTCCCCCAACTGTGGCTCCACAGCCACACAAGGGCCCCCCAGATCCTGCAGGGCAGGGGGTGAGTTGGGGGACAAGGGTGGAGCTGGGGTCAAGGGGGATTGGGGGCAGGGGGGTGAACTGGGGGCAGGGATCAAGGGGTCAGTAAGGGAAGGGGTTATTTGGGGGATAGGGGTCACATGGGGTTCAAGGAGGAGTAGAAGGCAGAAAGGACTTTTGAGGGGCAGGAGGGAGCTGGGGGACAGGCGTCAGCTGGAGGGCAGGGGTTGAGTTGGGGGAAGGGGGTCCTGCCCCTTGTATCTGGGAGGGAGGGGCTCAGAGGGGCACCCTATGGGGCAGAGCCCCCCACTCACCACTTGCACTTGGGGGGCAGCCACGGCCACACCGTGAGGCAGCACCTGGGGCAGGAGGACGAAGGGTGTCGCCTGCGTTTTGGGGCTGCCCGGGGTGGGGGCACGGAGAAGCTCCACCTGTGGGGCAGAGCTGGGGGTCAGCAAGGGCTGTGGGGCAGAGGGATGGGAGGGGTCACTCAGGGGGCTCACCCGATAGTGGTGCCGCAGTGTCTTGTTGTGGGGCTGGGGGGGGGTGAAGTTGAGGTGGGGGGTGGAGTCTTCTTGCCTGTGTGTGGGGCAGGTGGGGATCAGTGGGGCCCAGATGCCTGGGCCCCCCAAATCCATGGAGCAGGAATGTGTGGGGCTCACCAGGAGGCCACGAGGTCGAGGACAAAGTGGACAGGGACATCCCAGGATTTTGTGTTGTCCCCGAGGGTGATGTTGGGCTCGTTCTCGCTATGGGACAGGTAAGACCCACAGGTGTCACCTCCCTGCCCCCCACAGCACTCCACGGACCCATCCCCACCCCACGGATCCCACCTGCTCACAGTCGCCATCAGCCCCACGGATTTCCCCCACGTGGCATTTTGCTGGAGGTCAAAGGTCACCTCCACCATTACCTGGCGTTGGGCAGAGTTGGGGTGACTCGGGGAGCTACCCCACAGCGACCCCCGGCCCCAGGGCGTGGCCCCACAGATCTCACCTGCCAGCCGGCACGGAGGATGGGGTAGCTGAGGTTGCAGGAGAGGCCCCACGGCTGCCCCTCGGCGCCCTGAGCGTCCCAGCAGGTGATTGGCACCGGGGCAGAGGCCTGGGGGGAGATGGGGGGCTGGGATCTGTGGGCCCCAAACCCCCCTGTCCCTCCCCTTCCCTCCCTCCCCCCATATTTTGGGATCCCCATGTGGGGCACCTCACATACCTGGCTGGCCCGGGCCCACCGATAGGAGACCCCCGGGGGGTGCTGCACTTGTAGGGCCACCTTATAAGCATCTTCCCTCCTGTTGTCCACAGTCAGCTGAACCCTCAGTTCGGCACTGGGAACCCCCAAAACAGCTGCGTCCCCCAGCATCACCCTGACCCCCAAGTCGGCTTCGCACACCTCATCGTCCCCACAGTTCTGCTCGAAGGGGATCTATGGGGCAGGGAAAGAAGGGGGTGGGTTAATTTTGGGGACCCCACCCATCGTGCCCCACATCCCAGCGCCTCTGTGGTGTTACCTCGACCCAGGTGGGGCCAGTGCTGGGAGGCAGGATGGGCCCTGGGGGGTCCCTGTCGGGCAGGGCGATGGTGACACTGGCACGGATAGGGGTGACAAAGTCCTCGAGGCAGGGCTGGGGCACAAGGCGCATAAGGTTGGGGGGCACCCCAGAAGTAGGGGGTAACACCCCAGCCACACTCTGGAAGTGTGGGTCCTCCACACCCAAAACTACGTTCTTCCCCTCAAGTACTGGTTCCCCTCTGCCCCCCAAGTGTGGGTCCCGTCCCCCAGATGTGGGTCTCACCCCTACCCCGAAGTTGGATCCCATCCCCCAAGTGTGGGTTCTGCCTCCCAAATTGTGTGCCCCACCCCACCCCAAAGTGGTATCTCACCCCCTAAATGTGGATCCTGCCCCCCAGGTGTGGATCCCACCCCTCCACGTGTGGATTCCACCCCTACAAGTGTGGATCTTATCCCCATCAAGTGTGGATCATGCCCCCCCAAGCGTGGATCACACCCCCCAAGTGTAGGTCCCACCCCTAAGTGTGGATCCTGGCCCCAGGAGTGGGTCCCTACCAGCACCCTCAGTTCCTTGCTCTGGCAGCTCAGCCCTGGCTGCATCTCCCCGTCCCAGCTCCGCTGCCCCTCCCCGAATTCCCCCCGACCTTGTGCCCGCTGCGGGTCGACATCCACCCGGAAGGTCACGGGGGTCAGCAGGTCACCTGGAGGTCAGTGTCAGGGTGAAAAGTCAGTAACCCCCACAGCACCTCCTGGAGCCCCCCCAGGCACCCCTCCCCAGACCTGGGCGGTGCAGGCAGAGCTGGAGGGTGACAATGGTCACAATGGTGACATCAGAACAGTCAACCCCGCGGGTTGAGATCACGGGAGGGTCAAAGGTCAAGTTGGTGGTGACCCTCAGCACTGGGCGGGACCTGCAGGGGAGGGGACATGGGGGAGGGGACATATCAGGGGTGGTACTGGCTGTGTCACCACCCCGTGTCCCTCCATGTACCCCATATCTCCCCAGTGCCCTTCTCCCCTGGACTTACCCCCATGCCCTTGTCCCCACTGCTGCCTTCATGTCTCCATCCCTGTGTCCCCATGCCTGCATCTGCACCCCCCATATCCTCATCCCCATGTCCCTGTCCCCACCCTCGCGTCCCCATCCCCGTGTCCCCATCCCCATATCCCTGTCCCCACCCTTGTGTCCCCATCCCCCTGTCCCCACCCCCACGTCCTCATCCAACCCCATGTCCCCATCCCGCCATCACCACCCATGTCTCCATGTCCTTGTCTCATGTCCCTATGTTCTTGTCCCATGTCCCCACCTCCACATTCCCATCTCCATGACTCCATTACCATCTGTCCCCATCCCCATGTCTCCACATCTCCATTCCCCTCTCCAGCCCCGCTGGGTCCCTGTGTTCCCACCCTGTGTCCCCATCTCCACCCCCATGTCCTTGTCTCCAACCCTGTGCCCCCATCACTCTTCCCACAACCCCACATTCATGTCCCCCTCACCATCCCTGTCCCCACCTCCACATCCCCATGTCCCCATGTCCTCACCTCCACCCTGTGTCCCCTATGTCCCCCCATGTCACCTCATCACCACGACGTGTCCCTCCATCCCCACTGCCATGTCTGCCAGCCCATCCCCCGTCAGGTCCAGGCCCCCGGCCACCGCCTGTCCAAAAAAACGCCCCAGGGCCACCATGTCCCCCTGCAGCCTCTGAGGGGGGAGAGGACACCTCAGCCCCTGATGTCCCCTCCCCTGGTGGGGGTCTGCTCCCCCTTGTCCCCAGGTCCCACCTGGCGGGGGTGGAGCTCCACTCCCCCGGGATGCCCCCAAAAGATGTAGACAGCCCCACGCTCCTCATCCTCCAGTGGGGCCCCCACGGCCACCTCTGGCAGGTTGTCACCGTCCAGGTCTCCCAGGGTGGCCAGCGACGCCCCGAAACGGCCCAAGGGGTGACCTGGAGCACCATAAAGCTGCCCAGAGGGGTGCAGGGCATCCTGGGGGCACAAAGACATTATGGGGATCCCCTTGGCCAACCCCGATCCCATGGACCTTGGGTGGGGGTCACTGTGGTTACCCCATGGTCGCCAAGCTGGTGGCACCGTGGTGACCCTACATCTCTGGTTGGGGGTCACCCCGGTCTTGCCAGGACTCTGGTCACCCTGGTCCTGGTCACCCTTGGCTGTTGTTACCCCGATCACTCTAGTACCACATTCCTCAGGATGGGGTCACCCTGGTCACCTTCATTCCACCCTCCCTGGGTCGGGGTCCTCCTGGTCACCCCCATCCCATGGGCTTGGCTTGGGGTTACCACAGTCACCCAACGTCCCTGGGCTGGTGTCCCCCACGGCCATGTGCCCCCCACTTCTGGGGGTTGGTGGTGACCCCAGGGTGGGGGTGCCCCCCTTACCTCCTCCCACCTGTACAGGTGCACTCGTCCTCCCCAGCGCCCATCGTAGTGGCTGGGGGCCCCCACCAGCAGTGCCACCGTCCCCCCGCCCTGGTCCAGGGCGCAAAGGGTGGCCCCGAAATAGGACCCCACCTGTGGAGGGACATACGTGTCAACGGGGGGGTGGGAGCACCCATGGGGATCACGTGTCACCTGGGAGAGGGTGGGGACACCCATGGGGCCCTCCTCCATGGCACAGAGGGCAGCCCTGAATTAGGACCCCACCTGTGAGGGGACACTTGTGTCACGTGGGGGGAGTGGGGACACCCAGGAGTACCCTGTCCCCCCATACCTGCTCCCCTTCGAGGGTCTGCAGCACCTTCCAGTCCCCGGTGGTTTCAGGGACCTCAAAGAGGACGACCCCGCCCACGTAGAGGTGACGGGGGGCACCTGCAGCCACCAGCGCCCGGCCGGGGACGCGCAGCCCGGCCAAGGCGTAGCCTGGGGGGCAGTGGGGCACCAGGGTCACCAGGGTCATCCTGGTCCCCAGGGTTGGGGTCACCTTGGTCACCACGTGTCCCTGGCCTGGGGTCACCAGGGTCAAGGTGGTCACCAAGGTGTGATGACCTGGTCACTCTGAGCTTTGGGATGGGGTCCCAATGGTCACCCTGGGTTAGGGTCACCATTATCACCTGGTTCCTGGTTGGGTCTGAACCCCTGCCATGATCCCACTTCCCACCCGTGCTGAACCCTCCAGCCCGGGGTCTCCCCCCCACAAGATTGCCCCTCCCCCAACTCTCTCAACCCATGTCCCACACATTCAACCCCTCCCCCACTCCATCCCCCTGATTAACCTCTCCCCCCAATTAACTCCCGTTCCCCACACCTATTGACCCCTCCTCCATCCATATAATCCCTCCCCCATCCCTAATCAACCTCTCCCCTCTAATTAACCCCTCTCACCCAGGTACCCCTCCGGCCTGCTCTCCTTTGGGTGGGGGTTGGGCACGAAGGTCTCGTTCTCCTGCAGCTCCAGCAGCTCCAGCAGCCCCCCCGCCCAGTTATCAGCCCCTACTGCCCCCGTCACCCGCCGGCCCTGGGGGGAGGGGGGGAGGGTCACGTGAGCACAAGGACACCCCTCCCCCCCAACCCTTCTCTCCCCAACCCACCTGGATGACATCAACGCTGATCCCGCTGGAGCACATCTCCAAGTGGAAACTGTGCAGCTGGGTGGTACCTGGGGGGAGGGGAGGGGGGAAGGTTAACTGGGGGAGAGGGGACTGGGGGGTATCAGACTTGAGGGTGGGGGAGGTGTTAATTGGGGTGAGGGAAGGGCTAATTGGGAAAGAAGGGGTTAATTAGGGTGGCAGGTGGGGTGCAACCCCCAGCCAATTTTGGGGTTTCTTCCATGTTGCAGTCGGGCTTCTGGGGAGGGGGACGTGTTGACTGGGGAAGTGGGGGGTGCCGGCGTACCCTCGATGTCGTAGAGCCGCGCCTGCAACTCCTGGAAGAGGCCGCGGAGCCTCTCGAAGCTCTCGAGCACCTTCACGAAGCCAGGTCCGGAGGCGAATTGCTGCAGGTAGCGCTTTGTGTCGGGACTGTTGAAGTTGTTCCCCACCTGTGCCGGGAGGGGTGGGCGTTGCTGGGGTGGGGGGTGGATGTTGTCCATCCCCTCCACCCACCTCCCACCCTCCCCATCCCGGCACCTCAGGATGGGGCAGCCACAGCCACGCCCACCCAGGGCCACGCCCACTATGATCACACCCACGTGAGCCATTCTGCCAATCCCACCATGACCACATCCACTTGTGATCTGTTTTGCCACACCCTCAAAGGGCCACACCCCTAAGTCGCACCTGACCACGCCCACTCATGACCATGCCCACATCAACTACACCCACCACGCTCAGCTCCACCAAACCCTCTCCTGGCCACACCCACCACCACAACTCCTTGCTGCACCCACCACTGGTCATGCCCACTGTGACCACGCCACCCCAACCACACCTACTTACCACTCCCACCCAATAACACACCCAGTCATGACCATTCCCACAATGGCTATGCCCACACAATGACCACACCCACACAATGGCCAAGCCCACACCATGGCCATGCCTACACAATGACCACACCCACACAATGACCACACCCACACAATGACCACACCCACACAATGACCACTCCCACACAATGACCACTCCCACACAATGGCCATGCCCACACCACTACCAGTCCCACCATAACCACGCCAACACCTGACCATGCCCACCATGTCCAGCTCCATCATGGCCTCACGGCCACACCCATGCCCACCCACCCCGATGACGTAGCGGTGGATCCCACGCTCCTCGGCCGCATCCAGGGCCTTTGGGTCGTGGTCGGTGGCGTCACCATCGGTGATCATCACCAGGACCCGCCGTGCCCCCGGCCGCGCCCCCGCCTCCTCCGAGAACAGCTCCTTCCTGCAGCCACAGGGCACTGATGGGGCTGCAGTGGGGAGCACCGGGCGGGTGGGGGGCACCAGGGCTGGTTCTGGGGGGCAGGGGCACTGGGGGATGGGGGGGGGGTTGAGGGGCTGGGGGATAGTGGGGCCTGGGGGTAATTGGGGATTTTGGGGTGGGAGCTGGGGGTAATTGGGGGCTGGGGGCACAGTGGGGGGTGCAGGGAGGGCTGGGGGGTCACTATGGGTTTGGGGGCTGGGGGTGGCAGTAGGGTGCTGTGGTGTGGTTACGGGGCAGATTCAGAGGACAGGGGGGTGCTGAGGGTGTTGGAAGGCAGCTCTGGGCAGCAGTGGGGGCTGGGGGCACTCAGTGCACAGCTGGGGGAGCACTGGGGCTCAGTAGGTGGCACAGTGGGGCAGCAGGGGGGCAACAGTGGAGCAGTAGTGAGGCAGAGGAGGGGCAGCAGGGGGGACAGCAGGGGGACAATGGGGTGCTGGGTGGTGGGGAGCAGCCAAGGGACAGCAGTGGGGCACAGGCGGGTGCTGGAGGTTGGCAGTGGGGTGCAGGGATGCACAGGGGCAGCAGTCAGTGGGGTGCAATGGGGTGGGGCAGAAGTGGGGCAAAGGGGGAGTGGGAAGTGGCAGTGGGGTGCAATAGGGATCAGGGTGGTTCTGGGGGCCAGCAGTGCTGGGGTGCTGCCCTGCTGTGGAGGTGGCAGTGGGGCACAGAGATGGCATTAGGAGGGCAGTGCTGCAGGGTGGCGAGAGGGAGTGGAGGATGGTGTGGGGCATAAGGGGTGGCCAGGACGGGGGGGGCAGTGGAGGGCAGCGGGGGGCAGTGGGGCAGCTGCGGGGCAGGGCATGTCTCACGCGACGAAGCCGATGGCAGCGAAGGTGTCGGTGAGGCCCCCGCGCTGTTCCAGGCCCTGCAGCAGCTCCCGGGGCTGTGGCCGGGCCGCGAATTCCTTCAGCGTAAACACGGTCTGGACCCTGTCCGAGAACTGCACCGCCCCGAACTGCCCACAGGGGCTGCTCTGAGTGTCCAGCCCACTGTGGGCCCAGAGCCCCCCATAGTCCCCCATTGCCCCCGGTGCCCCCACAGTACCCCCAGGGACCCCATCCCCAAAGTACTCCCTGTAACTCCCATCCCCATAGTGCCCTCGATTGCCCCCATCCCCCACGCTGCCCCTTATAGCCTCCCTCACCACAGTGCCCCCTATAGTCCCCTCCCACAGTGCCTCCATCCCCCCATCCCCCTGTAGTGCCCCCTATAGCTCCTGCCCCCACAGTGCCACCATAGCCTCCACCTCCATCCCCCCCAGTGCCCCCTATGGCCCCCATCCCCCACAGTGCCTCCATAGTCCCCATAGTCCCCCCTATAGATCCCATCACCCACAGTGCCCCCTATGGCCCCCATCCCCTATACTGGCCCCTGTAGGCCCCATATCACACCATTTCCCCCTGCACATCACCCCACTGAACTCCCACCCCTGCCCATGCCCACCCCGGGGCGTACATGGATCGAGGTGTTCTGCAGCTTCTCCATCACATCCACCATGAAGTCCCGGATGGCCTTGAACTGGGAGGTGCTCATGCTGCTGGAGTCATCGAACAGGAACACCAGGTCCACCGGGCCCCGCTGGCAGCCTGGGGTCAGGGGGGGCCACTGGGGGGTCAGCACCGGGGTAGGGGGGGCACAGGGAATGGCTCAATGGCCCCATGGGTCAGCCAGGGTCACTGTGGGTCCATGATGGCCTCCATGGGTCAACCATGGTCCCTATGGGTCAGCCCTGGGTCAACCACAGGTCAACCACCAGGGTCAAGCACCATGGCCACCATGGGTCAGCCATGAGGTGACCCTGTTCTCCACGGGGTGGGGGACCATCTCTGGGGCGGGCTCCTCACCTTGGTATCCGGGCATCAGCTCCTGCCGTGTTCTCAGCTGGGGGTCCAGCAGGACACAGACCCCGTTCGTGTAGACATTGCGATCGCAGATGTGGGTTGAGCCGGGGCCACAGGCCTGGGGAGGGGGAAGAAAGGGGCAAGGGGTGGAGCTGAGGGGAAGGGGGGTGGGATGGGCCCCCCTTCCCCTGGGTGGGGAAACTGTTGGACTCACGATTGTGATATCACCATCCCGGGCCAAGGCCATTCCTATGTGGGTCCGGGTGCTGTTCCCTGGGGATGGGGTTTATTCCTAATCCTGTCCCAATCTCATCCTAATCCAGACTCGATCCTGCCCTAATCCTACCCCTCCCCCATTTTAAATGACACCTCATCCCCACCCCCTCCCAACCCCACCACCTATTATAATCTCATCCTCATCACACCCTAATACTGTCCCCACTCCAAACCCACCCCTAAAACCACTTTACCCACACCCCCACCCCCACCCTAATCCCACCCTAATCCCATTCCAGTACCACCTCACTCCCACTCAAAACCCATCTCCAAATCCCTTCCACCCCCAACCCTAATCCAATCCCTAATCCATCCCAATCCCACCCTAATCTCACCCCACTCTAACCCCACCCACTCCCAGTTCTCCCTAACCCACCCCCACCCCACTCTCATCCTAATCTCACCCAAATCGCCCCTAATTCCACTTCAACCCTACCTGTAATCCCAGCCCATCCCCACCTCTAATTTCACCCCACACCCACCCATAGTGGCACCCCAATCCCTCCTAATGCCCCCATTCCCACCTTCCAGCTGCACCTTCTGGCACTCCCCACTTTGCACCGAGCACTGGAACAGCCGCCCCCCATCTCCCACCTCTGCCGGGGCCCCCACCAGCACTCTGGAGAGAGGGGCGGGGTCAGGGCATCCCAGCCACCCGGGACCCCCAATCCCTGGGGTCGGGGGACCCCACAACTGGGGGATTCAGGTGTCCAGGCCCCCTATCTCCTACCGGGCCCCATCCAGCGGCAACACCTGGTGCCCGAAGCTCCGGCCCTGACCGGGGGTCAGGACCCGATGTGGGACCGGGTGGATGCTGAAGGCTCCGATGTGGGGCAGTGCTATGGGGCAAGAGAGGGGGAAGGGGTGAGAGGAGCCCCCGTGCCCCCCACAGCCCCCCCAAACAAGCACACAGAGGGAAGCCAGCTCTCTGAGAACCATAACTGGGGGTCCCAGGTCGCTGAGCCCCATAAGCAGGGGGCACCCATAATCAGGCCTCATGGCGCCAACATGGGGCTTCACTTCCTTCCCCCGAGCATGGGAAGGATCTGAGCATCTCGCTGCTCCCACCCCCCCCCCAGTGGGTCAGGGCTCCCCACCTCCCCTGCTGTGGGATAGAGACCCCCATCCCCCCATGGGTCAGGGCCCCAAGTGCCCCCATACCGGCCAACAGCACCCCGAAGACAATGCTGATGATGCCACTGTGCCCCACGGCCGCCATGCTGTCACTGTCACTGTCACCCCGTGTTACCCCACCCCCGCATTTCCTTCCTGTGGTGGGAGGGTGACAAACTTCCCACATAGAACCAGGGGGCCCTGGGCATCCGTGACCCAGAACGGGAGGAGACAGAACTGGGGGGGAGACAGGATTTTAGGGCAGGGGGGAAGGAACCGGGAGGGACCCGGAACTGAAGCAGAATTTGGAGGGGGACAGAACTGAATGTGAGACAGAACTGGGGGGTGGGGGACAGAACTAGGGGAGGCAGAGAACTGTGGGTGATGCTGGGGGATGATGACCTTGGGGGGGGAAACCAGAATTGGAGGGTGTCCCAAACTGGGGAAGAGACAGAACTGGGTTGGGAGGATGCAGAACTGGGGGAGAGAGAACTGGGGGATGGGGGCCCAGGCATCTAGGATCCAGTGCTGGGGGGGAGGGGGGCCATCACTGGAGGTCTCTAGGCAACTGGGACTTGCCTGTCACCATTGGGAGGGGCATGGTGGAGGGAGGTTGGATGGGGGTTGAGCTGGGGGTTGGGAATGGCTGTGCTGAGAGGGTCCTGGGAGCTGTGGGGGCTGTGGGGGGGGACACCCTGGCTGGATGCCAGGTTCCCCCAGAGACACTCTGTCACTCCCCTCATCACCTGGACAGGGGAGAGAAAACAGAACATTTATTTCAGTGCTGGGATGAGGAGTGAGGGCTTGAGTTTGGGGCTGGGATGCGCTGGATGATAGAGGAGCATGAATTGGGCTTTAAAAGAACTGGATGGGCTATGGGAAACTCAGAGGCGTGGGGAAATCCTAAAGTAATGACAGACTGGTGTTTAAAGCAGCAACCAGTGAGGACAGAATGATATCAGTAAATCTTGGCACATCCTGGGGTAAGAGTGAGTTTGGGAAGCAGAGGGGTGGTTAAAGTGTGCAGGGAAACAGCACAGGCACAGGGGAGAGTAGGACAGTCTGGGGCAGTGACAACCAAGGGCCTTGGTGGGGCTGGGACTGTTCCACCCCCACATTTCCAGCTGTAGCCATTGCCTGTGACTTCCTGCTTCACCAGCCCCGAGGGATGGTCAGCTTACCAGCCAGGACCTCACTGGTCTCTTCAGCGATGACCCTCAGTGAGGCCAGTTAACACCCTCAGGGTCTTGGGGGTCGTTGCTGACTTTGACTTCTCAGGATGTTTGTTCCCAATGTGCAATTCAGGGATTCAGCACCACAGGGAGCAGGAACAGGCAAAGTGCCCAAACACACCACAGCTCTGGGGTTCGTTTCCTCATTTCTCCCGTGGTTGATTGGAGCAGTTTCATGGGTGCTGTCAAAGTCAAAAGTTTATCAAAAAAAGTAAGCACAAGAAAGCATTTTTCTGGTTTTCCTAATCTTTCTGCCCGCAGAATACAGGGAGCTTCTGACTGAGGTTGTTTCTGAGCATTTCTTAATGAAGCACAGACATATACAGAAAGCCAAAACTGGGGGGAGTTTTTAGAGCACTCCTTGGGGTGAATTAAACACAGGACTTTGCTTAAATACAAACCAAAAGAAGCACCCACGTGTGTGCACAATGCTTTGGGTAGAGTCCTACCACTATGAGCCATTCTCCAAGGACTCTGACAAGGTGGGTCTGAGCTGACCCCTCAGACACTTTCACCAGCACTGACAAAGGGTCAGCACAGGGCACCTCATCCCAGCCTTGGCTCATCCCCCATTAAATATAAAAAGAGACCTGAGATCTAGTTAGTCTAGAGACCATATGCCTGGATCAGATACTGGGGAGCCCTGAGAGCCTGCAGGTTGGCTACTGGATGGACACTGTGGCCTAAATACCTCTTAAGAGCAAGTACCAGATCCTTCACCTGGGCTGGGGTGATTCTGGTTTGACAGACACAGCTGAGGATGAGAGTCTGGAGAGTTGCCCCACAGAGAGATCTGGGGGTTTGAGTGGAAGGCAAGATATATCACCAGCATCTCTGGGACTGCACTGGGGCAGCCTCACCTTGAGCCCTGGGGGCAATTCTGGGCACCTCAATATAAGGAGGACATCAAAGGGTGTCCAGAGTAGAGTAACCAAGGTGGTGAAAGGCCTCGAGGGCAGAACTTACAAGGTGAAGCTGCAGTCACTTGGTTTGTCCAGCCTGGAGAAGAGAAGGGTGAGGGGTGACCTCATTGCCATCTACGACTGCCTCAAGGGGGGCAGCGGATGGAGGGGCTGGTCTCTGTCACCAGTGATAAGACTCAAGGAAATGGAATGAGGTTGCATGAGAGGAAGTTCAGACAGGACATTGGGAAAAGGTTCTTCACCCGGAAAGTTGTTAGTCACTGGAACAGGCTCCCCAGAGAAGTGGTTACCAGGCCTGCCAGAGCTCAAGGAGTGCATGGATGATGCTCTTAGTCCTATGATTTCATTTTATGTGGTCCTGAAAGCAGCAGGGACTCGTGGATCCTTATGAGTCTTCCAATTTGAGAAAGTCTATGATCCTGCGATAGTGGGTGCTATTAAAGGGACCATGGAGGACAACGTCAACATCAGGCACGGTCAGCCCAGGTTCACAAAGGGAAACAGCGGTTTAACCAATTTGAGATATTCTATAATACCATGATTTGTTCCTTCAGACACCTCTCAGCTTGCCAGCTGCTGCTCACTTGAGATTCCAGCAGTTAAAAGCTCTCCTGTCCTTTGGGAACCTGTCTGCCCGGACAGCTCTTTTTTATGTTCCTATATATCTTTTCTATCTATCTATCTAAAACCTTTCTGATAAGATCATCCCTTGCAGGAAGATGACGTCATTAGAGACAGCTGGTACTGAGCATGTGGTTACTGAGGGTGTTTTGGTGTTTATGAAACCCTCTCAAGCTTAATTTCCTTTTGTTACAA